GTTTAGCTTCATATTAAATCTACGCAAAATTTTGAAAACTAAATGTAAATCTTGTATTAATTCATGTGAAAATTGGGTTTTAACGACCATATCGTCTACATAACACTCTACTTTTTTGCCAATTAGTGGCTCAAACAGTTTGTTTACAAGTCTCTGAAAAGTGGCCCCAGCGTTTTTCAACCCGAAGGGCATGACCTTGTAACAGTACAGGCCGAACTTGGTTATGAAAGCAGTTTTCTCTTCATCAGCTAGGTCCATCCTAATCTGGTTGTGGCCCGAATAGGCGTCCAGGAAGCTCAAAAACTCGTGCCCCGAGGTTGCGTCCACTAGACGGTCGATCCTGGGAAGTGGGAAGTAGTCCTTTGGGCAAGCTCGGTTCAGGTCGGTGTAGTCGACGCACATGCGCCATTTACCGTTGGTCTTTTTCACCAGAACGGGGTTGGCCACCCAACTCGGGTAATGAACCTCCCTGATAAAATCGGTTGCAAGGAGCTTCCCGACCTCCTCGTCGACTGCCCTCCATTGCTTTGGGGCTAGGTTGTGTTTCTTTTGTCTAACGGGCCTAACTACAAGTTCAGTGTTTAGCTTATGAGTTAGAATGCTGAGGTCTATGCCGGGCATTTATGCCGCTGACCCTGCAAAAACATCTAAATTTTCAAGTAAGAAACTTAGCAGTTGAGACCGCAGGGGCTCCTCAATAGAAGCGCCGATCTGAAGTACCTGAGTTGGATCCTCTGCCGAAGCCGGGACGGGGGTGGTCTCTTCGGTAGGCGTGGCTCGCTCCGTGAACTGCTCCACAGGTCATTCTAGCTCGAGGTCGTCTGCTACCTTGGCCTTTCCTTTGAGGGTGGCTACGTAGCACTTGCGGGACTCGAGCTGATCGCCTCGCGTCACTCCGACTCCAAAGTCTGTAGGGAACTTCATCGCCAGGTGGTAGGTGGAGACTACTGCTCGTAGGGCGTGGGTAATGGGCCGACCTACTATGGTGTTGTACGGGGAGGGGGTCACGACCACTAGGAACTCGTGGTTGAGCCTTACCATGCTGGGCCAGGTGCCGACCTCTACTGGTACAGTGACTCTCCCCAAAGGCCTGACCTCTTCACCGCTGAACCCCACAAGTGGAGTGTTTGCGGGTTTAAGGTCGCTTTCTTGGAGTTGTATCTGATCAAAGGCTACCTTGAAGAGAATATCTGTCGAGCTGCCCGAATCGACTAGGACGCGCCTAACCTCGAAGTCGTTGCTCTTAATCTTTATGACGAGCGTGTCATCATGGGGATAATGGACCCCTCGCGCATCATCTTCGGTGAAAAAGACCGGTTCCTCCATCCTTGGCCGCTTTGGAAGGTTAAGCTCTTCCCTGGCAGCCTCGCAGGCTGATGACCAATCTGCTGCCGAGGTGCAGCCTGCAACAATTGATCCTCTGACAATTACATGGATGGTCCCCCGGACTGGTCTCTCGTCGGGAGGCTGCCTCTGCGGTTGCTCCACTTGTCTGCTGGACTCGGGAGCTTCCTTACTCTGCTCCCCGCGCCGACCTGCTTTATTACTATTATTATGCTGTACAAAATTTCTCAGATATCCGCGATGGATAAGTTCTTCTATCTCATCGTGGAGATTCTTATAGTTTTCGGTACTATGATTGTGATCTCTATGAAAACTACAATACAAGTTTTTGTTCCTAACATTGGGATCGGCCTTAAGCCGAGGTGGCCACTTCACATATGGGGCGTCCTTGATCGCTATGAGGATCTCAGCCCGCTTTGTGTTGAGGGGTGTATAATCCCTTTCGGCTGCCAGAGCTCGAAAAGGCTGAGTTGGCTTTGCCCCCCGAGCTTGGTCCTTCTTCTTCTTGTTGTCACTTGGAGCCGGGGGCTCCGGTTCCCTTTTTCTTTTTTCAAGGGCCTGCTCGCCCTTTTGGTTAATCTCCTCCTCTGTCCCTATGAACCGATCTGCCAGTTCGAGGAACTCGGTCACGGTCTTGGGTTGGTTGACAACCACGTGCCATCTGAACTCCTTGTGGGCGATGCCCCGCTTGGCCGCAGTGAGCCGAACTGCAGGATCTAGGTCGGGTATCTGCAGGCAAGCGTCATTAAACCGCTTGATGTAGTTTCGGATGGACTCTCCTTCCCTCTGGACTATGCTGAGGAGGCTTTCTTGGGTCCTCGGACACCTTTTACTGGTGACGAAGTGGGAGGTGAAGACTTGCACGAACTATGCCCAGCTCCTTATTGAACCTGGCGCGAGGTTTTGGTACCAAGTGTGGGCTACTCCTTTGAAAGTGGTGGAGAAGGCCACTCACATGCAAGACTCGCTCGCTCTGGCCAGATGCATATGGGACTGAAAGGCGTCCACGTGGTCATTAGGATCAAAGGACCCATCATACTTGTCCAACGGGGGGAGCTTGAAGTCCCTTGGCATGGGGACAACAAGGAGCTTTAGTGATAGGGGGAGGGAACTGAAAGAAGCGGTGTAGCTTTTACCTCACTCGAACTCACCTCTACCTTGCCTCTGAGCTTGGGCAGGTCGCGGGTGACAGCTCGGCGAGCTCGGCGACGCCTTCGCTGCTTCTTAGCCGGCTCAGCGTTGGTGCTGCTGGCTTCGGTATTACTAAGCTCGATGGACCCAGGGAAATGCTCGGACGACTGTCGGTAGCTGCGAACAGAGGGACCTTATTCCAGGTCGTCGGCCAGCACTTCGAACCGGTTTTTGGAAAGCGGAGGTCCGAACTGCGAGCGCTGAGGTGATACCGGCCTAACCGGCTGGGAGGCCCCCGACCTAACTACAGACCGTGAGGCGGGGGTAGGGGGTCTTTCCTTCCTTCCATGGGATGACACCGAGGTCTCTCCTCGGCGGGAAGGAAGTTCACTTTGGCGGTGAGGCTTKGTTGGCTGCGCAACCAGATGTCGGGGAGGGAGTGAAGGAAATTGTTGTTGATACTGGTACTGGGACACTTGGTGCAGCACTTGCTGCTGGTGGAACTGAAGTTGCTGGAACTGTTGCATTTGGGCCTGCATGGCTCGCGTGCACTGCATCAGGTCTTCGAGCTAACCTTGGCTGGCCACCGGAGGGAGGATGGTGGGTTCAGCGAAGGTTGTTCCAATGGTAGAGGGTAATGGAACGGTCACTGGTGGCACCGTCAGGGGCACATTCAGACTAGGTACCCCGTCCACGGAGAGGGGGACGGTGAACTGCCCGATGCAGATGGTGGGTAGCTAGAGTTGTTCCTCTGGGGTGTTTCGGCGTCTGGAGTTGCTGGAGGAAGCCATGGTGATGATGAGTTCTTTGAAGGAAGTTTCACAGAAGTTAGAGGAAGGCCTTTTGAAGCGTTTCCCACAGACGGCGCCAAATGATGCAGCACAATCTGGGCACTCCTAGCTGGCTGAGACTTGGCTCCTTACTGTGACGGACGACACCTGAGAGGAAGAGGAAGGTGAAGGGTTCCCGGGGAGCTCTCCCGGCAGGAACACTCCGATGGCTAAGTTAGAACTCTTGAGGAAACTCAAAGAAGACACAGAGTTAAGAGTGCTGAAAGTGCTAGTTTCAATACCTTTGCTTCGTGAGGGTTGGGGTCCTTTTATACTGGAGCTCAGTCACATCAGGCGTAACCGCCACTGCCCTAGCCGTTACCGCCAGGGCAGGGGTGGCAGGTGCAGGCTGCTGCTACAGGCTGTTACTGCAAGGTACGGACTCGACAGGCGTGTCATGCTTTTCAGAGACGGCAAGCAGATCACCGCCTGGCAAGGGATCCGAGCACTGCCACCGGATCCGGTAGGTATGGATGTCAGCCAGATCTCCCTGTAGTCTGCCGAGCTACCGTACACCGAACCACCTGGGGCAGATTTTCCTTGCACTGAGGTGCCGAGGTACATCGAGGTACCCGCACTGGAGGCGAGCCTTAAGCAAGTTCGAACAGGAGTCTCGACGGTGCTGCCCCGAGGTGTTTCTCCCTCAGGACACTTAGCCAAAAGCCGAGGTGCTCCCTTCTTAGGAAGGGAGAGCTCGGGTCGCCTTGCACGGGGAGCTCGGGGAGCTTCACCTTCAGGCTTGGGGCGAACTGGGCCTTGCTTCTCGGCGGGGTGKCACACCCGCCGAGTCGTTTGGTCAGGCTTCGACGAGCTTGTTACGCCGGGTTGTGGCCAGGCTGTCACGCTGATTTGTCGCTTATGCCAGGTCATGTCCACGTGTCCCCGTACTACGAAGTCGGGCCAAATTTCCCTACATCACAAATTATAATTACAAGCAAATAAATTCAAAATTGAATTAAATGCAGATTTTATGTTTGGCTCAGATTAACGTTACAAACGGGAAAATAAAACCTTTTTGGTAATCCTCCTCGATTCTCCATAGAAAAGAAAAGGTTCACTATGCGAATTCATGTTTCCATGGAGTCATGGCCTATCCAATTAAAACAGTTTCAATTCAGGGTGGGTAGGTGGCTTCATTTGGAATGGTAGCTCTAAGACGGTTTGGTAGACTTGCTCTAGAGTCTAGAGTTAAAAAATCATCAGCACGAGTCTGAATCTACTAAACATGTTTGCGCAATTTCATTCAATCTGTTATAGGTAGGGCTAACTATTGATATACTCAGTAGAGTTATAAGGCCAGAAGGAGTCTAAATCTACCGAACTTATCGTGCACTTGCATTCAGTCCGTTTCTTTTATTTATCGATGGATCGATTTTGGGGTCCAATCCAATTAATTAGTTGGATTTAGACATCCAATGGGTCCAATCCAATTAAGTTGGATCCAGGCATCCAATAAGAGTAATTTGATTGGATTAAAAAATCCAATAAAAATATACCAAACCCAATCCATTTACGGTTTTGCGGAGGAGAAGGATCATCAACTCATCATAGAAGTAGGTGGGCACGAGTTTCGCTGCAGCCGTTCAGCCAACAATCGTTCTAACCAGTAAAGAAAGAAAGATGGGGGGCGCAGAATGTGCTTCATGCGCCGTTGTAAGTTGTAACGTACTTCCCTCCCTCTAGCTATTAATATGTGAAATGGAATACTAGTGATGGTCCATTAAATATTTCCATTTACAGCAAATCTTTTGAGTTGGGGTTTGTTCCAGGCTCTAGCTAGTAATGCCGGAGGGCGAGGTCAAGTTGTTGGGGCTATGGCCAAGCCCATTTGTCATACGGGCGAGGATCGCACTCAATCTCAAATCGGTGGATTATGAGTTTGTTGAAGAAAAGTTCGGGACTAAGAGCGAACTCCTTCTCAGATCCAACCCAGTTCACAAGAAGATCCCTGTTCTCATTCATGACAATCAACCCATCTGCGAGTCCTTGGTCATTGTTCAATACATAGACCAAGTCTGGACCTCTGGGCCATCTATTCTTCCCTCTGACCCTTATGATCGTGCTATTGCACGCTTTTGGGCAGCCTACATTGATGATAAGGTACGTTAATTAAGCTTGTCCCCAAATTGACAAATAATTAAAGGGTGGACAACGTTGGCTGACAATACTCTGCCCGTCTTAGTTCTTAACTAACCACGGCCAACTCGAATTAATCTTGTTTTGTTGTGTTGCATGTGTTTAAATTCTTGGGAGTGTTGCTCCTGTTTTAAATATTAATTGGATTTCATTGTATTATATATATAGTGGTGGCCATCTATGGTTGGACTGGGGAAAGGACTAGGGCAGGATGCGGAGGCAACAATGATAGATGAGGCCAGAAGGGGGCTTGAATTGTTAGAAGAGGCATTCATCAAGTGTAGCAAGGGAAAGGCCTTCTTTGGTGGAGAACGCATTGGCTATCTCGATATTGCATTGGGTGCCTTCTTAGGGTGGTTGGGGGCCAAGGAGAAAATGGCAGATGTGAAGCTTTTAGACGAGGAGAAGACGCCTCATCTGGCCCAGTGGGCACAGCGCTTTAAATCAGACCCTGCGGTGAAGGGGCTGATACCAGAAACTGACAGGTTGATCGAGTTCGCTAAGATGGTTCAGGCGTGGCTCAAAGCTAAAGCTGCAGCACCACCTACTCAGTAGGGAAAGACTAGGCAGCCTCTGCCTCTGTTGCTGTGTAATAAAACTTTGTGGGTAGAGAGACTAGAGAGTTAAGGCTTTGTGGTCCTTGTCTTGTTTGACTGGTGAATTTTGCTTCAGTTTTTTTTTTTTACCTCATCCGTCCGCATTACGAAAAAAAAAAGAAAGTAAAAGAGAATTTGCACTCAACTCATTTGTACTCCTCTAATTTTGAATGAGCGCAAATAAAATTAATTGCATTGCAAATAAAGAGGCGTAACTAAACACAGGATTCGAGCAATTTTAAGTTCTTTATTAAACAAAATTTGTATATAAAGATGGGGAAATGCAACCAAGAGCATTCCTTGAGGCTGTGTTTGGTTTGAAGGAAAAAGTAGGGAAAGTTGTATAGGTTTCCCTACCTTTCCCTGTCTTTTCCTACTTTTTCCTTCAAACTAAACATAACCTTAGGGCTTGGGACGTGTTTGAGTTTTGACGCACTCCAGAAAAGTTATGTTAAGAGACCCAAGTGGACAGCCCCATAAGTGACTGGTTAATAGTTGATTTGGGCTTTCGGAATAAAGAGACTGAAGTGAATAGTCCTTTAATTGGTTGATCAACAGTTGAAGAGCCCCACACAGACAATCAGAAGTCGTGCTTCAGTTTTCCCAAACGGGCACTAAATATGTATAGAGCCATCTTGAAGGGACCACCCTATTTTTTGTGAAAAATAAACTGGCGACTTAAGGGTGTTTTGTTATTGGTGTGGAATACTAAGGATTGTTACATATGGTAAGTTTTGACAAAGTGAGAATTAAAATTAAAAAAAAAAAAAATGTTTGTATAATTTCTTCCGGGTTTACATTGACACCCCAACATCTCCCAATAACAAAAATACGGGAGATATTTCCAATGCACTCTAAGATGTGCATGGGGCGCTGTGGGTCATGCTTTGTGGGGGTGTTGATGTCATCTCGTTTTTTTCTTATTTTTATTAAGGTAAGTTATTCAAACCTCCTCAGTTTCTAACAACTATTTTAACCTCGCATCAACTTTAAACCCTCCAAAATCCTCCTTCCACATTATAGATAAATTATTGAGATTTAACCTTTTTTTGTTAGTTTGAATAGGTAAGGCAGCCCAATGCACGAAGTTTATTCAATGGGAAGGGATAAATGTATGCAGCCTTGCCTACTTGGATGATGATGATGATTTAGTAAGAGAGAAAGGAGAGGAGAAAAATGGGTTTTGTTTGTAGAGATTTCCCTTTTTTTGGTTTCATAGATGCTCTTTAAAATTATGATATCATCTTTTTCCATCGCCATCTCAAAGTCAAAGTAAAAGAAGTGGTCAATTTGTATAATTTATCTGAAACGTGGAAGAAGTTTTTGGAAAAGTCAAATTTCAGATGAAGTTAAAAGAGGGAAAATCTGTGGAGCTACCGATCGAGGAAGTAACCGGCTATTCTGGGTTTACTCTTATGGCTGTATTTTAGCGGACAGCAAGGAAACCTCATATTCATTCTCTTTCGTTCGTCCACGCTTTGCGGGATTTTTTTTTTTTTTTCTTCTCTCCAACCAATGGTTTCATTACCTTTCTCGATTTTCTTTCTCATTAGCTTATCTATCCTTCCTTTTGATTTCTTTTTTAATTTTCTTTTGATAACCCCATTTTCTTAATGGATCTAAGTCGTCGTTAAAACTCCTACCTCTTTGTCTTTTAATCATTTTCAAAGTGTTGATGTTAGTCGCAGTAGATAGGCTGATGATCTTTGGTGGCAATTTCTTTTAAAAGGATGTGGGGCTTAAAGGACAAAAGCATACACTCTTTAGGTAGATTTCTGTTGTTAGGCATTGTTTATCATTTTCAACTTTTCCTTACTCTTTTTAATATACCAGTTTTGCGTTTCATCATTGAGATGATATGTGGAGTTCTTTAGGTGGTCGATTTCTGTTGTTAAGCATTGTTTATCATCTTCAACTTTTCCTTACTTGGTACTCTTTTTAATATATAGGTTTAGTGTTTTGTCCTTGAGATGATATGTGGAGTTCTGTTTTCTGTTTATTCATGGAAAGAATGAGATGTTTTTGTTAGGATAAATTTGCATAGATAATGAGCCCCTTCTTCTGTTAATTGTATATTTTGTTAATAAGTGTTATTTAAATCAACAAAGAATGAAAGGAGAGCGTTCAGTGTCTTGCATTGTGGAGTCATAGATTTAATTTCTTTAATTTGATGCTTGTAAATATACAAAGGGATATGATCGTGATCACCTTTTGTTGCAGATATTGGAAAAATCCTCTCAAGGAGCAAGCCTGGTATTAATCATGATAAACTTGCAGAAACTCTACAATTTCAAGGAGCAGAAAAATCTAAAGACATTTTGAAATCATAAGTTTGACAAGGGAAGAAATAATGACGGCCACAGTGGAGGTTGCAACAGAGAACAAGGATGAAGAAAAGAAAAACGTTTTGGTTGGCATACGAATGGATAGATATGGTCGAGACTTGATTAATTGGGCCCTTATTAAAGTTTCTGAACCAAGGGATCGCATAGTTGCAGTCAATATTTGTCGAGAATCTGATAATGGTAGTTGTCTTTTTTTAATGATTCCTTTGTCTCCCTCTAACAGAAATTCTCTCCTTTGTTTGCAATTATAACTTCTATTTTCATCACTCAAAATCCCAATGATTCTATCTTTCAGAATCTGGTTCAAAAGAGCACTCCTCAATGGCTGATTATTTAAAAGCTTGCCAAGGATTGTGTAATGTGAAGCAGGCATGTTATAACATGATTTTCACCATTATATTCTTCTAACTATATTCTGGTTTAATTATTTGTTTAGTTCTAAACTTGCACTCGGGTTTTAGGTAGATCTTACTGGCTATATCTCACGGGGAAATTCTGTAAGGAAGGCTTTGGTGAGGGAGGCAAAAAAATGTACTGCCATTACAGTCGTTGTGGGAGTTAGCAGGCAACATAGTCTAGGGTAATTTATTGAGCTATAGACCATGGTCTTAACAAAGTACTTGTTTGGCTCAAGAATTTCTTTTTTTTTTTATTTTCTTGAGTAATATATATATATATATATATATATATTGTTTAGGGGTTGGGTGTCAGTGGCCAAGTATTGTGCCAAACGACTACCACCAACCACCTCTATACTGGCTGTCCACAATGGGAAGATCGTCTTTGAAAGTGCTTCAAAAAATCAATTTCCAGGTATGAATTTCATCTCTTTAATTTGCTCTATCAAAAGCATGATAGTTTTTTTTTTTGCTTATAAATGAATGTTTTTTTACCTCATGTTTTCCCTCTTCTATTTGTTTAATAGAACTAAGAAGAGATCCAAAGCCAAGTTTTTATTCCATAAGTATTTCCAGATTCAAGAGGCAGACTACTTCACGACATGCAGAGTTGACAAAAATTGTGGTTCAAAACTCTGAAGATGAATCAAGAAATCGTAGCAAATATTTGAAATACAATAGTTTTAGCGTTGTTCAAGAAAGCAATAATGGTACTTCAAGGTCAATTGCTCATTTTGGGGGAGATGTGCTAGAACCAAAGCCTGGTTGGCCCCTTCTTCGAAGAGCTTTTTCAGTCACTTCTGAAGTTTTAAATGGTGCTGAAGCTAGAAATATGTCTGTTGTCCAATGGGTGATGAACCTACCAAATCGGTCTCCCCCAGTAACTCCTAAAACCCAGCATAGTTTTGATAGCAATAAGGAAGAAAAACCCTGTAAGAAAAAGTTCTGTAACTGTGTGGATAGGAGCAACAGCAATTGCTTATCTGCATGGGGGGAGCTACCCAAGGAGTTGGAGCTTTTCATTAGGACAAATTCTTCTAATTGCAGGTGGTTCAGCTATAAAGAGCTCAAGAGTTCAACGTCTCAGTTTTCCTCAGGTTCAATGATTCATTGATTATTATAAGGTTTAATGTATTCCATTCTCTTTATCTTCTTCTGTTTCTAACTGTTTTACTCACTAACAGAATGTCTGATTGGGAAGGGAGGGTGTAGCCATGTATACAGAGGGTGTCTTACTGATGGTAAGCCAGTAGCAATAAAAATCTCGAAATCGTCAAAAGAAGCATGGAAGGACTTCGCCCTGGAAGTAGAAATCATATCCAGTTTGAATCACAAAAACATCACACCCTTGATTGGGATCTGCATAGAAGACAACGCTCTCATCTCAGTATATGATTTCTTTTCCAAAGGAAGTTTAGAGGAAGTACTACACAGTATAAGCTTCTGTGACTAGTCCTACTTTCTTTACGCTATTCCTCGTAAAATTCAATCATGAAATGTTGCTAACATGAATTTAATACATCAAATAGGTAAATGAGACAAATGCGTACTGTCTTGGGAGGTCAGACTGAAGGTGGCTGTTGGAGTTGCAGAGGCACTTAATTATCTACATAATGGTTGTTCTCGGCATGTTGTGCACAGGGATGTCAAGTCTTCAAATATTCTTCTTTCTGATGACTTTGAGCCTCAGGTAAATCCTCTTACCAGAAACGCAGGGCTTGATTAATTAGTCAGATGTCAGTGAAAATCGTAATATTGGTTTCTGATCTCTTTGGCCACAGTTAACTGATTTTGGGCTGGCTGTTTGGGCACCGACAACCCCACCCTATGACTATGAGACACACAGTGGCGTAGTAGGGACGTTTGGATATATTGCGCCTGACTACTTCATGTATGGAAAGGTTAGCCACAAGATAGATGTCTACTCCTTTGGTGTGGTTCTTCTTGAGCTGATATCAGGAAGAAAGGCGATCGGTATGCAAACTCCAAATGGCCAAACGAGCTTGGTCATGTGGGTAAGAGCCTGCTTTGCAAAAAGGATTCTCGTCTATAAGTTCTCAACACTGTACGTATAACCAAATGCTTTAATTCTAGGCAAACCCACTACTAGAAAGAGGGGATCAAAAAGGTCTACTGGATCCTAAGTTGGCCGGAAATTTTGACGACGTTCGTATGCGGAGAATGGTTCTGGCAGCTACACTTTGTATTACAAGGTCTTCTCATCTTCGCCCCAATTTAAGCGAGGTATCTATGTATCGCTGACTACTAGTCCACATTTGGCATTGAACAATTCAATTTTAGTCAAATTCTACCAAACAAAAAAAAAAAAAAATAGAACCGAGTACGAGTATTCGATTACTTTGGTCCAACACCAAGACTATTTATTGAATAAGAACCCATTTGACTCTCTAAGTCTTTAATTTTGTGCAATTATCAGTGATATTAAGAGAAGTTGTAGTTAAAAAAAAAAAAAAAGCTTACTTGTGTTATCCTTGGAGCCAGATATTGGAAGTTCTAAAAGGGGTGAAAGATGTTGAGGAGTGGGGAAATTCCTGTGTAGAGGCTCCAACAGAATCAGATGATCAAGAAGGCGACGAAGTTTATTTGGAGTCAAGTAGTGTGGACTCGCATCCAAGCCTTGCATTGCTTGACGTAGATGATGGTGCTACATCCTACAACAGTGTGGAACAAAACTTCCAGAGTTCCATGGAAGACTATTTGAAGGGACGATGGAGTCGCTCATCTAGCGTTGATTAGCTTCAATCTCCATGCTTACCAAGTGTAGTTTCCTTGTCCCCCCCTCTACCTTAATAGTTGAAGGGGCCTGCTATTTTTCTTCTTCTTGTTTGAAGACAATTTTGCTGCCAACTTGACATACCAGAGTTGTAGTTTCTTGGTATAATCTGTACAATTGAGGGACGAAATGAAGGAAAAGGAAAAAAAAAACAATACAAACCAGTAGTTCATTGTATAGACACCAAGAATGGAACCAAGACACCAGACTAGTTGGCATTTGAAAGAACAGTACTGAGTTTCCTCATTTCTTAGTTTTCTTTTTCCTTCTTTCTTTTCTTAATCAAATACCTGGTAAATAAAAGACTACCATTTTTAGCTCATAATGCTATGTTTGGTTTGAAGGAAAAAGTAGGGAAAAGAAAGGAAACGGAGAAAAACCTTTACAAACCTTGTATAGATTTCCCTACCTTTCCTTTCCTTTTCCTACTTTTATCTTCAAACCAAACATGGCCTTAATTCTTTACTTGAGCATCCTACATTCTCCCTACACAATTTCAAGCAAGGTTTAGCTGAACGCTTTTACAGTGAAGCCCATGAAGAACCTCAGCTAATCCAAATGATAGTGGTGATGACACTGAAATATTAGGGCTGAAATATCTTTTGTCCCAACCCAAATTTAAATCTAAGCAAGCCAACCACCGTAATCCGAGTTGTTATCGATTGATCCAACAACCATATCAGCGTATCACATCCCTATCAGAAAAAGGACAATAGTCTTTTTGAGACTAGAACACTACAAAAAAGCGTGTGGTAAGTGATAACCACAACATCGATCTCCCCATCAGAAAAAGGACAAGGTTTTAAAATTGACCAAAAACCATTGTTCAAGTTGATGGTTTGATGGTTCAACCGCTTGGATCAATAATTTATTGACCAAATCAATGATTTTTTTTTGTCGAAAAACAATTTTAGAGTGAAACAGAATCAATCATGTGATCGATTCCTGATTTTTTTGGTCTAATCATCCGATCTGTTTCAATTTTAAAAACACTAAAAAAATATGCAAATCTTCATTAGTGGCTTGATTGAGATCCAACAAGTACAAGTCCAATGTGACAACAATAACTTAGGTCCTCTAAATGTGGAGAAATAATAGAAATCCTACATGTACCTATGGCCCAAATGTTAATATATAATTTGAAATAAAGGACAAAAGGGTGATAAAAATTCAGTCAAATATGTGAAAATAAGAATATATTTTTAATTTTTAAATATAAAAACTAATCATGTATCATAAAATTTTATAAGTTATCCACGACTATTTATTTATTTATTGTAGAGCCATAATGGTATCCTCCTTAGGTGCAAATCCTTCTAAGGTAGGATGCAACTTGGGCCGATCCAAATTGAGCCTGGACCCAATTCGGCGGATCTCAGCGTCTATGTGTTGGCCTGAGTGCCTGACATCCCTTCTCACTGTCTTTTGGGTTTGCCTAGTCGGGCTGAGCCTAGACCTAAACCTGAACCAATCGTAGCCTAACCTTAGCCTAGCTCAAATCTAACTATATACATACATGAATACATATATACATATAGGGTCCATTTCCAATAAGCTTATGGCCATTTTTAACATATGGGGCCCAACCCCGAGTATGCCAAATTTTTAGTTTTAATTGGGATTGGGTTGAACAAATCGGCTTGACATTGTAGTTGTCCAGGTTCAGGTCTTAACCCAAATGTTAGGGTTGGACCGGGTTGATCTTAACCCGGCCCAGCCCGCCCAAGTTGCATTCATATTCCCAAGGGCAAAAACAAGTGAGGTTGGTGGGTTCGAGTTCATGCTGCCGCTGCCGCTAAATGATAGTGAGAGGAATGGAGCCAAGTATACTGGTGGGAGGTTCTTGACGAGTTTGGATCTCCTGCCCATGTCTACCCACATAACATCGCAATCACACATGGAGAACATCTCATCCTCCTACATAGTATTTATTATGCACGGAACACCCCCCCTCCCCAAACTTGAATTAAAATGTAAAATATCATACTCTAACTTTCCTCCAACCCCCAAAATAAAATTGTTTATTTTTTTTTCAAAAAGTATATAATAGATCCAAACCATTTTCCCCTATACCCAACTTCTCTTACTCCCTGTCTCATTTTCTTGTTCAATTTGCCCCTCGAAAAGAAAATTCCTGGCTCCTCAATTGATGGTAGTGTTCACACGTTGGTAATGTGGGCAAAAAAAAAACTTTGCCCGCGGGGGCCAACAGCTTATACCGTTGAGAGAATTATTGGGAAAATAGTAATTGTACCTTATTTACTTTTCGACCATAAAAATAGACATGGATGTGAATGGGTGAATCAGTGTGAATATGGCCGTAAGGAACAGGTCTTTACATCAGTGGAAGGACACTAGAGGAACGGAGGTCTGACGATCTCATCCCTCGGTCCCTCCCTATATACATTTTTGGGAAATTTATGATTTGCTCCAACTTAAAATTTTATTAGTTTTTTGAATATATTGTCCGAAATCCCAAATCTCTAATTATTGGGAACAAAGGTCTTGATAGATTCCCCGTCACTATTGCTAACTGTATAAATTCATAAAAATTTATGAAATAGAAGAATCAATTAAAAATCATACAATCTGTGATAGACGTGTCAACCGATTGCAAAAAAAATAAAAAAAAGCCTGAAACACTATCAATTCGCCCAATAAGCCCATACCGGCGGGCGTAGCAATATTTTAAACCTTGGTCACTACACATAATGGATGAACAACAAATGCAGCAGATACCAACTCTCCTTGAAAGCCCTCTTGAGAGACTACAAAATCCTCTTAAACTTTTATTACACTTTTTTCCTATCTCATCACATGTATTCTCATTTTTGTATATATGGATATTTGCATACGTGGAAGAAGAAACCAGTTGCTGACTGGACAGTGGGACTGGGAATCTAGCACAAAGGTGGGGTACAGATGACTAGAGGTGGCAAATTTTGGGTTGAGTTATTTAGGGGCCTGTTTGATGTGTCTTTTTGCACGGTCTTTTGGCTGTTTACAATCATCTAAATAAAATTTATGACAGTGAAGAACTAAAGCTTCTAATACTGTGTAAATTTTCTGTTTTACTTTTTTATAATTTATTTTTATTTTTTGCATTTTCTGTGTTTTCTTATAATTTCTGTATTTGTAAAATAAATTCTATTAATTTTTATTTTCTATATTATTTTATAATTTCTGCACTTTTCTATGTTTTAATGAATTAAAAAATTAATGGGTTGTTACTTATTAGATGATTGGATTGGGTTAAAACGGGCTAAGTTGAACCCAATCTATTTAATTTTCTCCGAATTGGTGATTAACGGATTGGGTTTGAACTTTTGAAGCTAACCCAAACCCATACAATTGCCATCCCTACCTAGATTACGGCCCAGGCCAAGTCACCCAAAATAGAAATCCAATTCACGCTTTGCGAAGGCAAAAGGAAATCATTCGATTTCTTTGTTCCCAAGTCCTAACACCACCACCACACAAGGAAAGAAAATAACTGATATCAGAATTCACAAAACGTATGTCTTGCCAAAAGGTCAAAATGAATGATGCTTATAATTTGATAATTTGATTGATGGTATAAAAAGATGGAATAGCAAGTATGTTGCACAAACTTTGCTCTTTCTACAACACCCCACACGGAACCACCATGAATCATGAATGTTATTGTTAACAAGTATGATGATGGACCATGGTGCTGGCTGCGTGCAGGAGCATGATAATGAGCCATGTAGAATCGCCCGAAATTGAGGGAACAGCCCCTTTGGCTTTCTTTGAGTTGAGAGCACAATGGAGAATTTTTTTAATTAGCACTCCCCAATTGCGGAATTGCTGCCCGCTTCAGTTCAGGCTTCAAAGTTGAAAGTTGAAAGTTGAAACCACCTCTCACGTTATTGGTGCTTGCTGAAAAATGTTGAACTTCAAAACGGAACGGTAAACGGTAATGCATATATATCTACCTCCCGCAAGTAACAGCAGCGTGGCCATGGATCCGAACTAGTTCCATGACTCGAGCTACCACCGTCAACCTTTACTTTCTTTGACTCGTGCCTCACTTCAAAGAGCCAATCCTGGTTATCAAATTCATTGTACTCGCTCTGAATAGCAGGTGGCACCCAGTTCTGGATTAAATCCCTGTACTTCCGTAATTCTATTTTCATTTCATCGCTTTCAGCAGGAAAACTGGATGTACAAGTTCCGGTCCTGTCTTCTGCAACAACCTCATTCCGTCTGGAAGTGGAACATCGCACTCCTATGCTGGAACACGGAACATTTGCATGTTTATCCTGTATAGCAATCTCACTCCTATCCGAAGTAGAACAAACCTCTTCCCTTTTGGGTTCAGGAGTAGCTTCACACTTTCCTTGGGAACTGATTACAATCCTTCCAGAACTAGAACAGGCTGCTACTTCCTTGCTGGGTAACATTTCTGGATCCTTGTGTTTTACCAATGGCAGCCGTATTCTGAGAATGCTTGCTTTACATTTACAATAAGTAACAATTTCAACGAATCAGTGCCTGAGAGAACCTAAAAAGCCCAACGAGCACAAACCCTCTAGGGAGGAGACTTTTACAGAAATACTCACCATGGTTATGGCTGACATCAGAGGACGTGCTATGCTTTTTCCTCTTGTGGCTGTTCTGGGTGCTGTCAGAAGAGTCGTCGGGATTCTGAGAAACAGCAGCCTGTCCATGTTCTTCAGTAAGCCCGCTCTTCTCCAATTGTCCGCTTTCATCATGGCTATTTCTTGGATGCTCTCCTCCCTTATTATCTACTTTGCTCTTATCCTTGTGCCGCTTTTCATGACAGTGGTTTCTCTTTTCAATATGCCCATTCTCTCTGGCTTTGTCCTTCTCTTTCTCTTTCTTCTCTTTCTTCTCCCTCCTCTTCTCTTTCTTCCTTTCTTTCTTGGCCTTGTGCCTTTCTCTCTGGAGCTTCATAGCACCAGAATAACCATCAATTTGAGAACAGACTGCTAGAGCAGCAAGATCGAAGGAACAAAGCAAGACCAAGATCATGGACATGAAAATTTATTACGAATTTGGCTTATTATGATGCAGCAGTATAAAGTCGCTATTTCAATATATCACAGTCGATATTTTGTTAAAGTTCAACAAATATTACAAGGAAAGATGCTGAAGCCATTCTTGTGCAAACATCTATCCCAAGGGAAGCAGTCAGACATTTAGATGGGCAGCTTATAGGCAAATAGATTGGCATAGAGGTCTAGCATGTGGCAACAAAGTTTAAACTATTCAATTTGTAGCAATTCTGCTATATAAATAAAAATCTGCCATAGTACAGTAGAGCTGGTTTAGTAATTTTATGAACCGAGTACATTGCTTCCCATGGAATCCAAACGCACGCTACCGGAAAACTGAGTTATGAAAAGAATCACCACAAACCACCATCTCTACCTGAATGGTCCTAATTCCACACATCAAGCACTTAAACTACATGCTTGGAATACCTCAAAGAAAACCATGCTAAGCTAGACACTAACAGTAAATTCTAAAGAAACCCAAAAACAGACAGCTTAACTGACTTAACACCTAAGCAATTTGAAACCAAAAAAAAGTTGAAAGCTCACATGACCCTCTAAGCTGCTTAGACCAGCTATTAGTATTGAAAAAGTTAAGTAAAATAAGAAAAAAATAAAACAAAGAAAACAATCTATATGTAAAATAATTTTTAGCATCTGCACAATCTGAAGATAATAAATGCCATCAAAAAGACTAGCAACCATTAGAAGCCCTGAGCTCTCACAACTGCATTTCTAACCAGGTTAAACCCCCTCCCTCACTATACCATAATCCATAAATCAATCTGATAAATCATATTCATACTTTAATATTAGATAGCATAAAACCTGCTTGGAAGCCATGAATCTGCCTATTAGACTAAGCAAATATGGTATTTGAGAGTAGAAAAGATGCAGCACATAAAAAAGTAAGTTTCTTTAAGTCTTCCGAGACAGGTACAAACAACCATGGATTAACAGAGGTTACACCTTCCACCAATAACCAAAATAAGAACCCCATTAAGGTGATCTCATCTCATTATGTTTATATGCCAGTTGCATTCCTTGTGAAGCTGATCTCTGTATACTGCTTTGATTTCAACGGCACACTATCCAGATATCATATATAACATTGACTTCAATTCTCATTATCCAAGCCACTGCCAAATGATCATGATATGGCATGTCTATATGTACATGTATCAAACATAAGCCATTAAGCCTATTATAAACTGGTTAATTATTAGAATTGAATCAATATTGAATAACAATTAACTCATTACATACATTTTAACATCTTAGATTCACAAATTACTTATTGGATACTGAATAATTCATACCATATGACACAAGTACTTTCACTCAATTCACTGGGGGCAACCCTTGATTCTTCCACTAATCCACCCTAAACCCTATTGGATACCAAAAGATTTTCCATCCAATAGAAAAAACTCAATCGTGGTCCCATCAATTCAGTCTGTAATGCCTATAGATCAAATCATAATGAATAAATCCATGACAGAAAATGACAGCATTGGAATTGAAAACAGAAAGCTGGCAATGCTTTCACAGGCACTCACCATAACCTATACCTCATTTAAGTCATAAGACTGAGACAGGATAAAATAAATTTACAAGTATAATCTTCATTTTGAACAGTAGAAAGCCCAAGAAAAAATATCCCATCAGGTGTTTTTGCTCATCTACAAACTTGCCTTAGCATGCTTTGATATTAAGCTCTGTTAGTTTCCTAAAACTGTGTAACAATCATTGCCAAATCCAGGACAAAATTATGCTTAATGACATATGAGTTTCTCAAGCACCTTAAAGGGGAACCTGCAGTGGCAATTCTAGAAACAACCCGTGGCAATATCATTTGCCCATACATATATAATGCTGTGAAAAGTGAAAACACTTCTTGATGCCCTTATATCTGACAAATAATAGAGACATCGATGCACAACATTTGTATAGATAATAACTGCACTAAGTGAAACCCAACAACCAAGTACAATGCAGAAATAACCGTAATAAAAAAATGAATCAAGTAAGACCGAACTTTACTTTCAATTAGTCAAATTGACCAAAAAACTTTCAATTAGCAATTAGTCTGCCGATTTTCCACAACCAAGTAGTTAGTTTTACTAAAGCTTTCATGTGTTAGTGTCACAAATAGTTGCTTTCTTTTCCAATTAGAATGTCCACGCGCACATGGCATCAAAAACATGGCCTTCCCTGATCCCCATGTAAATAAGATTTTCTACGGAATGATAAGAAGTCATTGATCCACAGATAAATCTTCCACAATATGGCTCAGTCCTCTAATGAAGTGAAGATGATAAAACTAATTTGACATTTTAAATACACGGGTGCCAAAAAGAATGGCAAAATGTAAATTGGGTTCCCAAAAAATCTGCCAGACAACAACCCCGATCATAACCTCATATACACTTAGTTGGAACTGCAATTCATATACCCACAGATACTAGTCTTCCATGTTCCATAACAACTCTACAAGTAAAACACACTTTCCCAAACCAATTAATCGTATATTGTTACTTCTTTTCCCTTATTTGTACTTTCCTCTTTCCTTCTATTTTTATGACATGCTCCACGAAGACACAACGAAAGATGGCAGGAACCTCATCTGGGGTATTTCCTCGAGGGTTCAGATACATTCAAAATTACCCGCCTAAGCAAATATCCGTTTCCATTATGCATTGGTTACAAAAAATGTGTATTCACTGTACACAAGAAAACCCAATATCTGATTCAATATTTCCAATCACGTTTGCGAATCGAACAAAGTAGTCGAGCATAAACGCAAAAATCAACACAGCATGCACGCTCAACAAACCTTAATCGATTCACTCTGAGCCTCGGCGTCGTTCTTCCTCTCATACCCCGGAGGAGGGTAAGGAAAGCATCGAGACATGTTCACAACGGAATCAACACCGCAGAAGTCCCAAAATTACTTGAGCAAAACTGAATCAACACTGTGTAGTCAACCACAAATCGCCTGTTATTTGTCTGCAGGAAAGCAAGAAAGCAAAATTGCTCAAAATTTGCCCCAATAGGTAATAGACGCGGTCATGCTTAATCAAGAAAGGCTATGAAACACCGAATCTAGGTTCAAGCTCTCTCACATTCACGCAAAGTTTGACGCGAGATCATTCAAAAAATAATAAAGATCAACCGAAATAATGGCGCGAGAAGAGAAACCCTATGATTAGGGTTTTCAGAAAGAGAGAGGGGGAAAGAGAGATCTGAAAACGAGAAGCCCACAACAGCTACGCGTTTTTCCTTTGGCAGCTGAATAAGGGTATATATAGCCTCAGTCCTCAAGGTCGGCCCGCCTCTAACCTCTTTCGACGGAACCCTCTAGGTATACTTTTACTTTTTTACCCTTATAATTTTTTATTTCTATATTTATTCGTACGGATCGAATCGGATCGGGTTCGAATAAGGGTATATTCAAATTCGATTGCGGGTTCGATTTGAATTCGAATCCTATCGGTAAGTCGGATCAGATCTTTTAAAAATTAATAAATTATTAAAATAAAAATAAAGTATATTAATTTAAATACAATAAAAAACAAAAATATAAATACTTTTTTAATTATTTTATCATATATATACATATTTTTATAAAAAAATAAATAATATAACAAACTTATAAAAATATAATATAAAAAATATATTTATAAACAAATAAATAACATATATATGTATTATATATATTTATATTTATAAACATATAATATATATTGGATCGGATCTTCTAAGATTGGATAGTCGTGATTCGAATCTGATCCGATCCTCCGAAGATTCGAATAGGGATGACCCAAATTTGATCAAATAGGATCGGGTCTCGAATCGGATTAGATCATGATCCGGTCCATTTGCACATCTTTGCAAGCGGGCCACGTGGAAGTCACCCCTAACCCAACCCAAAATGGTTGATCTTTCGATCCCTAACCCCTTATCTTACATACATCCATGCACTTTTTTATCGGCTTTGGGTTCATTTGTGTGAGCAAGGAATGGATATATCACCAATAAAATGCTCTCAACAGTTAAACACTATCCCAACAAGCCATTGCAATCGCAGTTTGGAAATATCTCACTTTTCATTTAGGCTCCGTCTGGTTTGTGGGACGGGGATGAGAAAAATGGAATATTCCAAAAATATTCCCTTTTCTCATATTTGGTTTGAGGGAAAGAGGGCGATTCGGTGAGAAAAGTGTGGGATATTAGAGCCAAGGTTTTAAATTTCATAATGTATTGGTCGATATGTATCGTTTTCGAAAGAGTTTCAATACACGGAACATGTCTAATTAAATGGTTTCGTATTTTTTTGTCCGTGTTGAATTGATACAGGTCCGTACCGGCCTTGTATCAGTCCATATATCGGCCGATACAACCCAAAACGGGCCGATATGCATTATGTATAAGCCGAATTTAATTTCCCTCTCCTTTTTAAATTTAAATTTAATTTATATCTTCTCTCTCATTCATATCAATTTTAATTAAGCCTTAAAGTCTGAGACGTCACTAAATGCTAATATAATTTAATTAAATGCTCATTTAAGTTATCTTTAATTAGAACATTTATTATGTCATTAAATGACATTTAAGTCAAATAACTTGTTAAAAATCACAAACCAAAGGTAAAACATTTTGAACCCAAGTCATTTGCTTGCAACACTAATTAATTAACCATTATGTCAACCTCAATTACTTATTAGAATAACATGTTTTTTTATACTTAAAGTAATCTTTCTTGCCTTGGTGGATGTTTCCCAATACATGTTATAAATTTGTTTATTAATATTTATATAATAATAAGATGGATACAAGTTAAATTTATTTATTAAAAATTAAGGAATATATTAACTTGTATACATAATAAATATCATCTAAGTCTATATATAATAAATATTAACTAATAAATGACTTCAAAAAAATATTAACTAATAAATATTAGTATGTATACACATACATTTTAGTTCTTCTATTATTTTTCAATGGTTACTAATTATATCCCAATACTTCATATAAAATCATTAAAGAATGATTTTTTATGTTTAAAAAAATTAGTTATAATCACATAAAACTCATTTTTATTATTGTTCATATTTTTGAAAGATTTTTTTAATTTTCTAGTGTATCCATGCGTATCTTGATTTTTCGTCCGTATCTATACGTTTCTAAAGCGTATCTTGATAAGTCTCTTAAAACTACTTTTCTGATACACTTTGCGTTTTCTGATACTTTGAACCTTGATTAGATCCCAAAATCATGAATTTGGGGTCACATCAAAACCGTGCAACCCCAGTGAAAAAATGTAAGAAACCACCGTTCACTCTCTCTTTCGGCGAAACTAGCGACGACGGCACCCCCTTTCAGCCACTCCCTTCCTCCCTCTCTCCTCTCTTCTTCTAGGTTCGTAGATACAGATCTGGGTTCGCAGACACAGATCTAAGTTCCATGGCTTTTAAAAACGAACCGGTGACCGAACCGGTCTGGGGTCCGGTTACCGGTTTGAATGGTTCGGCCGTTCAACCCGAATGGTCGGCCCGTTCTGACAAAAAAAATTAAGAAAAATTAAAAAATTGGAAAACGGTTAAAACCGTTCGAACGGTTAACCAGTCGATTCAGCGGTTTGTTGACCAAAATCAACGGTTTTGAGGGAAAAGCGGTTTTGGAGGAAAACGAAATCGGTCAGGTGAACGGTTCCCGGTTTTTCCGGTCCGACCGTCCGATCTGGTCCAGTTTTGAAAACAGTGCTAAGTTATGCCATGGTAGAACTTAGATCTGGGTTCGCAGACACAGGTCGGAGACACTCCCTTCCTCCCTCTCTCCTCTCTTCTTCTCTTTCTTCTTTTGGGTTCGCAAACACAGTCGCAGACACAGATCTGGGTTCGTAGACACAAATCTAAGTTCTGCCATGGTAGAACTTAGATCTAGGTTCGCAGACACAGGTCAGAGACACTCCCTTCCTCCCTCTTTCCTCTCTTCTTCTCTTTCTTCTTCTGGGTTCATAGATACAACCGCAGACACAGATCTGGGTTTGCAGGTATAGTGTTTTCTTCTCCCTCACCGTCTCCTCTCTTCTCCTTGAAACAATGTTTTTTTTTATTATTTTCTTATGTATAAAACCAAACAATGGAAGAGTAGATTTTTACACTTTCCCATCCCATCCCATCTTTTCCCATCCCACCTAAATCTTCCCACAAACCAAACAGAGCTTTAGGCTTTGTTAGTTTTTCCATAAATAAGAGGAGATAGTTGGTCAATGGGTAGTAACTTTCCCATTTGATGGAAAAAGTTTATAAAACATAATGGGACAAGTTTGTCTATTTTGACATTAGCTTTTTATGGGTAAAAAGTCATTATATTGCTTACCTAAGAATTAAAAAAGCATGGATAAGTGAACTTACTCGGGTAAGTGATACTCAGGAAATATTTACCTCGGTAAGTGCACTTAGTTAGACAAATGACCTTTTGAAAACCAAAAAAGCCTTATAGGGAGATGCTATCGATGTGTAATTGTAATAACTTGTGACAATGTTCAAAGCATTTGTTGATACTTGATAATAGATTTGTACTCCGATTGGGTTGCACAAGGCCTCAATTCTAACCCTAAAATGACCTTTAACCCAACCTAACCCTTTTTTTCTCATTGGGATGGGCTTGGGCTAGGGGTACAAATGGATCATACCACAATCCAATTTGATCTAAAAATCTAGTCCTACTTTGTTGGATTCGGATATACCCCCCTGTTGAATTTCGAGTTGATTGCAAATCGAATTGAATTCGTAATAGCCCCCTGTCTAATCCGATATATTTATTTATTTATAAATATGTTTATATTACATTTTTTTATTCTTTATATTAAATATTTATTTATAAAAACACATGTATGTATGTGATGAAAATAGTTAAAGAAAATACTTGTATTTTTTATTTCTTTATATAAATTGCTATATTTTTCAAAATTTTCATGAATTAAATCCAATCGGATCATATTTAGATATCTGACATTATTAATAAATTCGAATTCGAATATGTGTTTGTGAGACCCGATCGGATCTTCATATTGGATCATATTAGATTTTTGTACTATCAGACCAGATTCAGATGTACCTTGATTCGAATCCAATCCGATCAATTTGCATCCCTAAATTGGGCCAACCTGGTCCAAGTTTAGCCATTACCCTTTGTAATCATTCATTTAAACCTATTCACTCATCTAACCTTATCTTAATATTTGTTGTTAACTTTTTATGGTTACATTTTCACCTCCGATTTTGTTTAAATTGGAGTCTTCTATTTATAAGACTTGATTTGAAAGGAGTATAAATACAAGTATATACAGTTCACAACCTTATATTTTGTATTATCTTGTATACATTTGCATTGTACGTGTACATATTTGTATTTGTATTATTTCCAAATTTAGTTTAAAGTTTTTTTTTTTGAAGCCTAATAAGGCCAATTCATTATGGAATGCTAAGTGAGCTAGCAAAATGGATACATTTCTCCAAGAAAGTATGGCACACAGGTCAAATAATAATTTTAAAAGAAAACAAACCATAACTACTTGTAATGTGTGTTGTCTTATTGACTGATTTTGGTACAAAGGCCACTGAGCAACTTGAGAAAGTATTTAAAATGGCTTTACAATCCGACACGAGCCGACAAATTTGCCAAGGGGGAGTGATTGTAGACTCCAATAGAGCTATAATAACAACCTTTGCATCTCTCTCTAATAATACCAAAGACAAACCCAACTCCACATTGAACTTTAAGCCGTTTTAAGAGAGCTTTGGCTTCAGTTTCAGTTGCAGGACATAGAAGGTAAAAGAATAATACGCCCATAAATAAAGTTCCCATAGTGGTTTCTTAGCACTAAACTGCAGCAGCTTTGTCCACCCCTATTCCACTATTGAAATTCAGCTTCATAGCACCTTCATGAGGGCAACACCAATAATTGACCAATCTATTAGTCTCTGCCATCACTAGGTTCTTTGAATGGATTTAAACCTCTTTATCTGGCTTTCCAAATCAGATAATTGAGCCTCTATAGTAGATATCACCCCTCAATACTAATTGGGGAATGTTCTAAGGCTACCTTGCAACGCATCTTCCAGATGTGCTAAAGAAGAATCGCTCCTTTAACAAGGGTAGAGACTGCATTCTCATTGAAAGCATCATCCATTAACACCCAGAGATAGACACTCTATTAAAGATTGGTGTCTGATTTCATCAGTCTTGAGACCTAAAGAGCTGC